AGGCGGGGGGGGGGGGGGGGGGAGAAGTTGAGCAAAAGGTGTCAGGAGAAGGGAGGGTGAGAGCGAGAGGAGTCTCAGCAAGTGGAGGGGGGCTGACAGGTCGTGGGCAGTGTCTGTTTCAGGGCCTGGCCCCCAGCAGGCTGAGCTTAGGAAGCATCTGTGGAATTATGGGCATATGAGCTCCTATGAGCGTAAACATGAGTGAAGGAGACCCAGGCTCAGCAGCTCTGCAGAGAGGGCTTTCAAGGGTGTGGCAGAGCAGAGCCCACTTCCTGGAGGTCAGAATTGGCAGGAAGGGGCCATGCCATGAGGGGCAGAGTTCCCTGGACAGGAGCAGGGGGACGAATGATCCTGGCCCAACCTGACGCCATCAGTTAAGGAGGGCTCTAAATGGGGGAGGGGTTGTGTTCAGAGAGAGGAGCTGGATTGGGGGGAGGAGGGGAGGGCAGGGCCAGGCCAGACTAGGTGGGACTAGGGAGGGGGTGGAAGGTCAAAGATTGAAGAGTGGAGTCCACGGGAGGGCAGTTAGGCTGGGGGCAGTTCGGTAAGGCCCTCCATGTAGATATAAGGACAGCTTGAGGGGAGGGGCTGGGGCAGTAAGTTGACTTGGAAATCGGGTATCTGGCAAGAGTTTTAAAGAAAATCAAGGAAAGGAGCCTGCCAGCTTGGCTCAGTGGTGGAGAGTTAACCTATGAACCAGGAGGTCTGGGTTTGATTCTGGGTCAGACTATGCTGGATCCCTGGTGTGGGGCATGCAGAAGGCAGCCAGTCAATGATTCTCTCTCATTATTGATGTTTCTCTCTCTCTCCCTCTCCTCTCTGAAATAAATAAAAATATATTTTAAAAACCACAAAAGAAAAGCAAGGACACTGGGCACAGCAGACACTGGGGTGGGTTCACAATGGACAGGCTCTTCCCCTGCACAAGAGACAAGGGGGGGGGGGCTCCTGTGGGACTAGGATCTGGCCCCTCCAAGAGGATAAAAGGTCACAGCAGAAATGGCGCCAGAGCCGAGACGGTTTGACTCAGTGGATAGAGCGTCGATCTGCGGACTGAAGGGTCCCAGGTTCGATTCTGGTCAAGGGCATGTACGTTGGTTGCAGGCACATCCCCAGTGGGGGGTGTGCAGGAGCAGCTGTTCGATGTTTCTCTCTCATCAATGTTTCTACTCTCTATTCCTCTCCTTTCCTCTCTGTAAAAAATCAATAAAATATATTTTTTTAAAAAAAAAAGAAAAAGAAAGAAAAAGAAATGGCGCCAGAGGTTCTCCGTGCTCGTTGGGAACCTGGCCACCCTGAGTCCTTGTTCTGCTCCAGGCTCTGTCCCAGAGCTTGTCTTCTCCAGGACTGCCTTCCTGCCTGGGGAAGGCACTCCTATTCCTCCAGCAAAGCCCAGCTCCAAGGGCACTTCCGAGGAGCCTTCCCGCCTCCCTCCAGCTCCCCGTTCACCTTCCCCTCCCAGCAAACAGCAGACCCTCTGCCCAGAGAGGCGGCGGCTCTGGAGCTCACCGTTTTCATTCTCCGACCCTCACCACTTCCCTAGTGAGGACACCACGGGGAGCCAGAGGAGAGGAACTGGGATAAGAATGGCCCAGAACACGAGTGGAAACAGGGTGAGGGCGGACTCAGGATGCGGTGAGAGTGAGAAGGGCCTGCAGAGACCCGTAGCCATCGCCTGGCCTCGAGGCCATGAAGCCGCCTGAGGAGGACAGGGCGCCTCCTGGGGGCTATGGAGCCCTCGGTGTGGCCGCACCCGCGTTCCCTCAATGAATGACTCAGCCACCACCTCTGGCGGGGACTGGGGGCTGAGAACCGCACAGGGTGTGTGTGTGGGGCGGGGGGAGGCGGGAGGGAGCGGGGCGGAGTGCGGGCCCCATCCGCCCAGCAGCCCCCGTGGTTGCTAAGCTCTCCAAGGCCTCGGAGAGAAGCGGCCTGGGCGAACCTCACCGGTTACCATGGTAACTCTGCGCCCCAGCCTCTGGCGCGGCGGCTGAGGAAGGCGCACCCAATCAGCGGCTGCAGGGGTTCTGGGGCACCCACTCCCACCCCTCACGTGGGGGCGGGGGTGAGGAGGTGCGGGGAGGGGCGGAGCGTGGGCCGCAGCGAGAGCTGGTGCCCGCTACCAGCCTGATGCAACGGCTGGGCAGCGGGGACTACTTCCGGAGTAGCTCAGCGAGCGCCTGCACCAGTGCCGGATCCCTCCCTCCCAGAAGGGGAGTCACCTGCAAGAACAGGGCCTTCACCTGGTGGGGGAGGACTCTGCGGAAGGGGGACCCCAGGCTGCAGGCTTCTTGCCCCATTTCTCTCCTGTCAGTGTGTTGGAGACCAGGTTGTCCACTCGGGGTTTCTCAGGACGACTCACTTGGGGAATCTGGGGGCTGGAGTCATTTCTGCAGGAGGCGTCTGGCCATTCCTAGTGGAACATCCTGAGGTCTTTCCAGAGACCAAGTTCAGGGCGAGCTGTTTGGGTAACCCCTCTGCTCAGATTCACGGGGGATTCTAAGGTGGCAGCCCCGGGGTATCGCAAAGAGCCAAACTTGGCTCTCGGAGGGGGCAAGTGTGTGTCTGTGTAAACATGCGTGCCCATTGGTGTCAAAATCTGGAGAGGATCTGGCTGCAAATGAGCTTACTCTATGCATACCTAACCCATGTGTATAAGTGAGGGTGGGAGTGCCTGGGGTGGGTATAAATAGTCCCATCCAGGAATGTCTAAAGAGAGTTAACTGCGCTGAAACTGGTTTGGCTCAGAGGATAGAGGGTCCCAGGTTCGATTCCAGTCAAGGGCATGTGCTTTGGTTGCAGGCACATCCCCAGTGGGGAGGCGAGGAGGTGCAGGAGGCAGCTGATTGATGTTTCTCTCTCATTGATGTTTCTAACTCTATCCTTCTCTCTTCCTCTCTGTAAAAAACAAAACAAAACAAAAAAAAAACAATAAAATATATTTAAAAATAAATAAATAAAGGAGTTAACTGGGATCTTGTCTATATCCCCCTCTCCTATGATTTCCGTAACTTCCCTTCCACCACCTACCGTCCACCAGCGTTCCCTCCTTGAAAGCAGGACTTCTCTGAATTGGGGCAATGTGAGAATCCGGAAATGTGTACACGGAAGCGTTCAGCACAAAGCCCCGGGATATGTGTGTCTTATGTCTGGGTCTTGGGTACCCAGGTGGGCACATCTGGGACGGTGATCTTTGAAATAACCCCCCTTCCCGGATCCAGCTGCGCATCTGCGAGCCCTCCAGCCCAGGTGCGCGGGAGGGAGGTCGTGGCCGTGTCGCGCAAAGCCCCGCGCCGCCGCGAGGTGGCGCCCTCGCTGCAGCGGAGCCCGCCGGCCCGGGCCGCTCAGATAAGAGTGTGCGGAAAGCGCGGCGGGGCTGAGACGCGACCAGGACGCGGGGAGGACGGACCAGCAGGACAGACCGACCGGGGGCCCGGCGGGCGGAGGGCAGCGCAGCGCAGCCACGTCCCCCCCTGGATCCGCCGGCAGCCGGGCCCGGGGCTTCCGACATGCCCCCCAGGTGGGTCCTCGGGCGGGCTGGGGACCGGGAGGGGCAGGGGACCAGGACAGCCCGGTCCTCGCGCTCTAGCCGCCTCGGGTGCATCCTCCCGTGCGGGCGTTCCGCCGCGGCTGGCGCTCAGAACTTGGGTGTGTCGCCCTCAGAGGACTGGAGACCACCGATCGCTGCTCTGCTCCGGGTTCACGGTGGGGTCAGCGGCCCGGGCCGGCTCTGCCCGCACATGGGCTGGAGAGGCGAGGAAGGGGAGAGCTGGCGGGTGGGGCTGGCCGGGGCGCTGCCCTGGCACGGCTCGGCTCCTGGCAGCAGGGCGGGTGGGGCGCCGGCTAGGAGCTGCCACCGCCGCGGGGAGGGAAGCCTGGCCCGGTTGCAACCGCAGGTAACGGGCCGCGAGGGCCTGCGGACCAGGCGGGGAGCAGTGTCAGGCCGGCGGGCGGGCGGGCGGGCAGGGCAGCTCAGGGCTCGGCTTGGGCCCTGCCCGCTGCCCGGCTGCTGAGATGGGGGGCGAGAGGAAAAGCTGGGAGCTGAGGGACTGGGGCTGGCGCGCCCCTCCCGGCCTGGCTGAAGTTGGGAAACTTTTTCCTAAGTTTGGGCGGCGGGGATCCGGCGGAGAAGGGGCCGAGGGGAGCTGGGGAGGGAGGCGCCGGGCCGTGAACGCAGACCTAAGGCCGAGGCCCGGCCCGGACTCGGGTGGGGTGCAGGCCGGGGTCAGGGCCGCAGCCGGCTGTGCGCAGTGCCCGCCCGGGGCGCTGCCCCCTCCCTCCCCTGGGAGCTGCGTGGCTCCCCCTCCCCCCCACCTGCTTCCTGCCTCAGCCTCCTGCCCCGATATAACGCCCTCCCCGCGCCGGCACCCGGCCTTCGAGCTCTGCCCGCCACGGCAGCGGCTGTCTCCGCTCGCCCGGCCGAGCCGCAGCCGCCGACCGACCGGGCCCCAAGCAGGGCCTGACAGCCCGGGGCCAGGGCGGCCCCGCGGCGCCAGGGCGCTCCCCTCCTCCGGATCACTTCCCCCAACTGGGGCGCCTTCTCCCGAGGCGGGAGGCGCTTTTCAAAAGCTCGGCTCCCTCCGATCCCTGTTGGGCAAACGCCTCGGTCCTGAATGACTTTTCCTGAAGCGGACATTTTCCTCAAATCGGGTAACTTGTCTCTGAAAGGGTCACTGCATCCCAACAGTTTTCCTCTTCGAAGCCCCCAGAACCCAGCTTGTGTAGCCGGTGGCCACCGGGCAAAGGGGGTGCAGGCCAGCCTGGCCTCCTCTCCTCCTCCAGCCGCGCTTCTGCTCTCTCCGGTCCGGTCCAGGCGCCCAGGCTCGGAGGCCACTCGTCCTCCACCGGCGCCCAGGCTGGTGGTGCTCGATGCCCCTGCCCCGCTGAAGGAAAGGGGAAGTGGAGGGGAGAGGCGCTGGGCTGGGAGCAGGCAGCCAGGGCTCCGGCCGCCCTGACCCGACCGGTGTGTGTCCCCCGCAGGAGAGTGTGCTGGGCAGACGATGCTGGACACGATGGAGGCGCCCGGCCACTCGAGGCAGCTGCTGCTGCAGCTCAACAACCAGCGCACCAAGGGCTTCTTGTGCGACGTGATCATCGTGGTGCAGAACGCCCTCTTCCGCGCGCACAAGAACGTGCTGGCGGCCAGCAGCGCCTACCTCAAGTCCCTGGTGGTGCACGACAACCTGCTCAACCTGGACCATGACATGGTGAGCCCGGCCGTGTTCCGCCTGGTGCTGGACTTCATCTACACCGGCCGCCTGGCCGACGGCGCGGAGGCGGCGGCGGCGGCGGCGGTGGCTCCGGGGACCGAGCCGAGCCTGGGCGCCGTGCTGGCCGCCGCCAGCTACCTGCAGATCCCCGACCTCGTGGCGCTGTGCAAGAAGCGCCTCAAACGCCACGGCAAGTACTGCCACCTGCGGGGCGGCGGCGGCGGCGGCGGCGGCTACGCGCCGTACGGGCGGCCGGGCCGGGGCCTGCGGGCCGCCACGCCCGTCATCCAGGCGTGCTACTCGTCCCCGGCCGGGCCGCCGCCGCCGCCCAGCGCCGAGCCGCCGTCCGGCCCGGAGGCCGCAGTGAACACGCACTGTGCCGAGCTGTACGCCTCGGGCCCCGGCCCGGCCGCCGGCCTCTGCGCCCCGGAGCGCCGCTGCTCCCCGCTCTGCGGCCTGGACCTGTCCAAGAAGAGCCCGCCGGGCTCCGCGCCGCCGCCCGAGCGGCCTCCGGGCGAGCGCGAGCTGCCGCCGCGCCCGGACAGCCCTCCTAGCGCCGGCCCCGCCGCCTACAAGGAGCCGCCGCTCATCCTGCCGCCGCTGCCGCCGCTGCCCTTCCAGAAGCTGGAGGAGGTCATGCAGCCTCCGGACCCGTTCCGCGGCGGCAGCGCCAGCCCGGGACCCGAGCCCCCCGGCCGCCCGGACGGGCCCAGCCTCCTCTACCGCTGGATGAAGCACGAGCCGGGCCTGGGCAGCTACGGCGATGAGCTGGGCCGGGAGCGCGGCTCCCCGGGCGAGCGCTGCGAGGAGCGCGGCGGGGACCCGGCCGCCTCGCCCGGGGGGCCTCCGCTCGGCCTGGCGCCGCCGCCGCGCTACCCGGGCAGCCTGGACGGGCCCGGCGCGGGCGGCGACGGCGACGACTACAAAAGCAGCAGCGAGGAGACTGGCAGCAGCGAGGACCCCAGCCCGCCCGGCGGCCATCTCGAGGGCTACCCGTGCCCCCACCTGGCTTACGGCGAGCCCGAGAGCTTCGGCGACAACCTGTACGTGTGCATCCCGTGCGGCAAGGGCTTCCCCAGCTCCGAGCAGCTGAACGCGCACGTGGAGGCGCACGTGGAGGAGGAGGAGGCGCTCTACGGCCGGGCCGAGGCGGCCGAGGTGGCGGCGGGAGCCGCCGGCCTCGGGCCCCCTTTCGGAGGCGGTGGGGACAAGGTCGGCGGGGCTCCTGGCGGCCTGGGCGAGCTGCTGCGGCCGTACCGCTGCGCGTCGTGCGACAAGAGCTACAAGGACCCGGCCACGCTGCGGCAGCACGAGAAGACGCACTGGCTGACGCGGCCCTACCCGTGCACCATCTGCGGGAAGAAGTTCACGCAGCGCGGGACCATGACGCGCCACATGCGCAGCCACCTGGGCCTCAAGCCCTTCGCGTGCGACGCGTGCGGCATGCGCTTCACGCGCCAGTACCGCCTCACCGAGCACATGCGCATCCACTCGGGCGAGAAGCCCTACGAGTGCCAGGTGTGCGGCGGCAAGTTCGCCCAGCAGCGCAACCTCATCAGCCACATGAAGATGCACGCCGTGGGGGGCGCGGCCGGCGCGGCGGGGGCGCTGGCGGGGCTCGGGGGGCTGCCCGGCGTCCCCGGCCCGGATGGCAAAGGCAAGCTCGACTTCCCCGAGGGCGTCTTCGCCGTGGCCCGCCTCACGGCCGAACAGCTAAGCCTGAAGCAGCAGGACAAGGCGGCCGCGGCCGAGCTGCTGGCGCAGACCACGCACTTCCTGCACGACCCCAAGGTGGCGCTCGAGAGCCTCTACCCGCTGGCCAAGTTCACCGCGGAGCTGGGCCTCAGCCCGGACAAGGCGGCCGAGGTGCTGAGCCAGGGAGCGCACCTGGCGGCGGGGCCGGACGGCCGGACCATCGACCGTTTCTCGCCCACCTAGACCGCCCCCTGCCGGCCCGCCTGGCCGCCGCCGCGGGGCCCCCCCGGCCCGCGCTCCCGGGCGGCGGGGCGGCGGCAGCTAGCGGGCGGACCCCGCCGGGACAACTCTGATAGCAGCGGCAGCGTCACCGCAGCGGCGGCGGCCCCACCTCCGCGGCCTCACCTGGCCTCACTGCTTTGTGCCTTAGCCCGGGGATGGGGTGAGGGGAAAACCCCGGGGTGGGGGTGGGTTGGGGGAAGGGAGATTTATATTTTTGATATCAGCTTTGACCAAAGGAGACCCCCGGCCCTTCTCCGCCTCTTCCTGTGGTTCGTTGGCCCCCTCCCCCCCGGGCTCCGTGCTGCTCTTGGGGGGTAGGGGTGTCACTGTTGGGGCACTCCCAGCCCTACCTCCGGCCCTTGCGACCACACCCATTCTCACTGTGAATCTCCCCGCTGGGGTCGGAGCGTCGGGCAGGGTTAGGGAGCTGGGAGGGGACTGAGCCGGCCGGAGGGCCCCCTGCCCCCCGCTCCCGCCCGCCCCGGGACTGATAATGTGAAGTTCCTCATTTTGCACAAGCGGCACTATCCCCAGGGCCAACCCTCCCCTCCCTCTTAAGTCGGAGGGCTGAGACAGCCCGGTCTACCGGTCTCCCACTCCTGCGGTGTCCTCTCTCCCTTCCCCCAGGCCCCGGACCATATTTATTGCATGCGCCCCGGGCAGCCCTATACCCCGAGCCCAGGCAGGGCTGGGCTGGAACGTGGTCTCTTTAGCTCCCTCCTCCTCTTTTGTATATTTTCTACCTTGTACACAGGCTCTTCCAGAGCCGCTTCCATTTTCTATACTCGAACCAGAAAGCAATAAAGCAGTAACCAAGGACCCGGGACGCTGCAGCTCTCTTCTGCCTTGCACTAGGACCTGGTGGCAGCACCAGGATGGGTGGAGGGACCAGACACAGGGGCAGAACCTTGGACCTTCCTCCCTCCCCAGCCCAGAGACAAATCAGCAAGAGGTCAGGTATGTCTCATAACTAAACATTTATTAAGGAAACAAAACCAGTGCTGCAAACAGGACAGAAAGGAGAGCTGGGCCTCCCACCCACCCAGTCATTAGCCTTCATCCAGGGCAGAGGATCTCAGAGGAGGATGGGGACATTTGTACCCCAAAGAGCCTGGTTTTCTGAGGCCCTGGGAAGCTTATATCCCCAAACCATTGGCTGTGGCTCCCCTGTACAGTCTGTCCTCCTCCTGGCATAATCTCCGGCCTCCGGAGGGCACAGCCATGCTCCTGTCCTCTGAGCAGGCTATACATACAGTTAGGGGTTCTTAGGGATACCCCCACTGGTCCCATCAAAACTTACTCCTGGCTTCTGGTCAAAACCCTGTCTTCCCGCACCCCCCTGCTCCTGCGCTGAGAAAATGAATTCCCAGTACAGTAGGAAGCCTCCTGAGTGAGGCTTTGAACACAGGTGCCAACTAAAGAGGCAACAAAAAACTCAAAAGGCCCTGTGTCGAGCTCTTCTAGGGCAAAGCTGGAAACAAGGTGCAACCCCCAGGCCAGGCAATGCTCTCCTCCAGGCAGAGCCTGGGAGTTCCCGTGGCACAGGGGCCTGGGAGAGAAGATCGGGGCGGGAAGCTTAATTAGGTTCCCGGCACAGGTACTGGAGGGAGAGGGAGATTCAGAGTGAGAACACCCATGGCAAGGAACTGAGGTGAGATTGAGGGGATCAGGAAGGTGAGAGGGATCAACTAGAAAGAGGAGGGTGGGGCTGATTCAGGGGGAGAGGAGGAGGACAAGGAGAGAGGAGGGGAGAAATGAGAAAATCTGAGGAAATGTTGTCCAGAGGGAACTAGAGCAAAAGGAAGGCCAAGGGGAGAGGAAGTGGGCAAAGGCCACCCAGGAAGCATGGGCCTGAGAGCAGATGTCCCTTCCCTCTAGCCCCCTGACCATTCACGGGGAAAAGTGGCAAAGTGTGATGGACCCAGACTGCTGAGGGCAGGAAGAGCAGCAGGAAGGGGTGGGGGTGTTTGGGTGGGGCAGAAGAAGTGGGGGTCTAGGGCTGCTGTATGGAACTTGGTGTCCAGAGCCCAACTTAGGTCCATGTGGGGACTCAGGCCTTGAGGGGAAGACCCCCTGGGCACTCTCTTCATGGTGTGGCCAAGCCTCTCGGACACGCTCAGCACAGGGGTTCTGAAGATTAAGGGGACCCGTGACTTCGCCTGCATCTGATGGAAATGCTAACCTCCTTAACCATCTCCGCTTGAGAAACTCCCGAGGCGGAGGAAGCCTCCCCCCAGCCCGTTAGGTGGGCAGGGGAGGGAGAAAGGCTGAGAGCACGGGCGGCCTCTCCAGCTCGCCCACCTGCTGACACTGCAGCCAGCCACCTCCCTCCTAAGTCTCCACAGCCCAGGAGGGTCCCAGCAGCTTCTGCCCAGCCCTCGGGAGGGGCTCTGTGAGGAGCAGCGCCCCACAGCACGGCCACGGTGTGGGTTGGAAGAGGATGGTTTATTGTCTGGGTGGATTGGTGGCTCAGGCATGTGGGCATCTTCCGTGCTACCCTGGGCACCTGGTGGCCTCTCAGGAACGGTTCCACGGGGGGGGCCCCCAGTGCGGCCCCCTCAGCCCACCTGGGCCCACGCGAGGAAGGCCGGGATGTCCCGCACGGGCACGTTCCTCGTCAGCGCTTTCACACGCAGGTTTCGGTCATCGGTCAGCAGCACCACCTCCCGCAGCAGCCGGATGGGCTCCTCTGTTGGCACAAGAGAGCAGAAGAACCTCTCTGAGGCAGAGACCCAGACGGACACTGCCAGCCTCTCCTCTCTCTGCAGGGGAGAATGGTCCTGGGGGTGGGTGGGAGGGGAGTGAAGGCCCCTCCCCTGCTGGCTCCAGGAGGCCATGCCGGAGAGGCCAGGCCGGCCAGCTTCGGACCCCTGCCTCTGGCACAGGACTGTGCTGCCTTGTGTCTTGAGAGCTGCCCAAACCGCTGGCCTCCACAGCCTCCCCAGCACTCTGCACTGAGGGAGCAGAAGCAGCCCCTTTCCACCCACTCCCACTGCATCACGATACTTGTCTTACTCCACATCCTCTCCCTCCAAGGACAGGCCTCCCAGCTGTGTGTGAGGAGAGCAGTTAGCTCAAGGGAGCTCTGAGGGGAGGGCAAAAGGGTTCTTGGCAAAGTCGTACGAAGATGGTCCTGAGGCTACAGTCAAATGACTTCCTCTATTAAATAAAAGTAATCCATGGTGAAAAGCACAGAAGAGGAAAAAAGGAGAGGTAAAGCCAGGCTCATCCTCCCAGTTCTCTCCTTTCCTGTGTCCCCGCCTTGTTCCCAAGTAGACTTATTTCAGATTTCTTTATACACATTTAAAAGTATATATATTTGTTATATAAGCCCCCCCCCCCACAACTTTACAATCATACTAGCCATACTTACTTTATTCTAATTTTAAGCATTTTAAAGATCTTTCTATACTGACACAAATAGCCTTCATTCTTGTTAGAGGACTTTCAGCAGGATGCCTTACACCACCTCTCTCCCACTAATTCCCTAACTTTTTCATGTATTGGGGAGAATGTAAACCAGGGTCAAGTATTCTCACAGTGACATCCCCACCCCTGGCAAGGCCCCCGGGTGGCAAGGGCACTCCTCAGTCCCAGGCTGGGCGCTTCCAGACGGAGGCCGGCAGACAGCGAGGCACGGGGACATCCTGCGGGGCTTACTGATTGCGGTGCTGGCTGGGCTGGGGGGCTGCAAACGTTCATGTCTGGACCTGAGCAGTTTCAGGCTTTCCAGCTCCAGGCAGGGAGGCTGAGAACTGGCTGTCAGCCTTGGGAGGAATTGGGGGAAGGAGGAGGGAGAGGTACTTGAGGCTGATGGTGGAGAGAGAAGGGGAGAGTGGAAGGAGGGTGTGATGGGAGGTGAGGGGCTGTGGTGGCAAGAGGGAGAGGGAGGTGGCCATGGATAAAGGGGATGCTCTGAGACCACTCAACTGTATGGGCCTGACCCTCTGGGGTGTGTGAGTGCAGGGTGGGGTGGGGTGGTATCGTGTTGTGCTGTGTGGGACTCCCAGCTGGCTGCCCGAGTCTGTCTGCAGCCCTGCCGTTCCTGCCCTGGGACTCAGATCAGGAGAGTCCCAAGCTTTAGGTCAGCCAACCGCGGCCCGGCGTTGCTGGCAGGGGTCTTCAGGGGTTTCTGTGGATACTTTGAGACATTTTTAACAATAAACATCCTCTGTTTTGACACTGGTAACTTCACTTTGTTAGAAACCAGAGGCAGTCATCTTGTCAGGCCCCATCCGCCATAATCCACATGATTTTAAAATTTAACATCGTTTACACATAAACATTTGGTGACAGTTTCTCTGTGAATCTGACAAGTTAATCTGCTAAGAATTCACACTGACAAATAGGGTTTGATTACACCAGCCGTTGCTGATGTAATTTTGATAGGGGCGGGCCTCAGGATGGCAGTGGGTTCCTGTAGGCTGTTTGGGGTGAAGTGGGGAGATAGTATGGCCAAAGCCAAAATGTGTCTTTGCTAAGAACGAAACAGCTCTGAGCTGGGTGGGGCCGCACAGTATCTGTGCCATACTTCCCAACAAGGCCTTCTGCACGTTGCCTACCTCGCCAAGAAGCTGCCCCCTGAGGAAGCAGGCAGGGAGCAGAGTTCAGGTTCCTGCTTGACTTATCCTGGACTCCTTTTTACCTTTGAATGTTCCAAATCTGGTTCTAAGGGGCAGTAGGTGCAAGCCATGTGGTAGGCCCTGTCTGAAGAAGAGCAGTGTGGACTCATATCAACCCCTGGTACGGAGGCTGAGGCAGGAGTGAAGGCTGCACTAACGTGGGTGGAAGGAGAAGTAGGAAAGAAGTCAGTCCCCAGACCAGCCTGGAAGCCATGATTAGGAAAATGAGCAGAGGTGGGTGACAACTAAAAGACAATGACAAGAGACTACATATACAAATGGTGAGAATATCAGCTCTGCAGATGACACTGAGTTAGGTGGTGCTAGAATTCCTTCCAAAAGCAATGTCAGATTCCTGGGAGTCAGGAGCAGAAAAACCTGAGCTTCACTGACTCCGGGGGGCTGTAAAGGAAGTTCCGGGTTGAGTGAGGAGCTCAAACTCTCGCTCTCAACTCCAGCCGCCTGCGAAGTACTGCAGCTTACTGCCGTAGGGAGAGAAGAAAAAACCCACTACTCACTGGGGAAGCACCTCCGCCCACGCCTGGCACAGGCAGACATCAGGGATGAACTAAGAGGATGAGCATGGCCCAGAGCAGGGACCACTGGGGACTGTCCTCTCAGAGCAGAGGGCTGGGCTCAGGAGACTGTGGCCAGAATAAGCTACACTGAATCATAAAGACATTCTTGCTGTCAGAGAACTCACTGAGGACCCAAGAAAGGAAATGGATGCACGCCGAGTGGGAAAGCTCACAGCCTGGGGCTGGCTTCCTGGGCTAGGCCCATCCCTACTTGGCCCACCTGACATCTCCTCGGGGTGGAGGAGCCATGACAGGAGGGTCTGACTGCCAGAGGGCAGGAAACTGAGCTTGCCTCAGCACTGACCTCCCTTTTTTCAAACTTTCCTGCATCCGGGGATGGCAGGACAAGGTAAAGCCGGGGATGGGTGATCCTGAGGCAGAGGCAAAGCTGTACCTTTGTTGGTGGGCATGAAGTCCTTCGCCTTGTCTTTGCAGTAGTGAAGGCAGCAGGAGAGGATCAGGTCATCGTTGTTACCCTGGAGGAAGACAGTGTGAGGAGTGCTTCTGGGCAGGAGGGGGCGCCAGGCAGAGAAGGCACAGATATACTCTGCCTCTGGGGTGTTGGGCAGGGTCACCTCCCAGAATCCCTCCCATCACGCCCCAGTGGGTCCAACTGTGCCAAGAGTGATCTACAGGACATGAATTCCCATTGCTGGGCCTCAATGGTGGCTGCCCCTCAGCTGCTCACTGACTGACCTTCTTTTAGTCCCCTGCTCCTGGGGACCCTGATCTGAAGGCTGGCTATCTCCCTTTTTGCTGGGGGTCTTACCAGCTGGCCAGTGATGTCCTCACTGCGGAAGGCAATGGATTCGAGTTCGTTGCCACGGCTGGTCAGGGCCCGCAGGCAAGAGTCCCGACTCTCAAATCGCCGCTCAAGGAATTCAATGGACTTCCGGGCCTTTTCCTGCACCACACGGGCATAGCCCCCAGCCCGGTGATCTGTCTCCTGACCCTTGGCCAGGCCATCCAGTTCATTGATCACTGAGGAGACACAGTTCCACAAAGCATCAGCCGCAGCAATTATGTTTATCTTTGCCCTAGGCCTCACTTTCCCAGCCGGCCCCTCCCAGACCACAGGATCCATCCTGCCCCACAGGAGTCTTCCAGGGAAAGTAGATGACTTTGGGAGGCAAGTAGCATCCCAGACTTCCCACAGTGCTCTCTCCTTTTTCTGCCTCTTCCTCCAGGCACTGAGCTTCTCCTGGGAGGAAGTTACAGGGATTTTCTGGGGCTGCTGTAGCCAGAGGAAGGAACCTGGCCCCTCTATTGCATTCCTTAGTTATGGGATCAAGTTGAAAGGGTTCCTCAGGAGAGGTAAGGGTATGGAGCAGCTACAGGAAAAAAGGCACTCTTCCTCATCCACGTGGGCCCCCAATCACAGCAGTTCAAGAGGGGGCAAAGTTCTTGCCCCTCGCACCACAGAGGGCAGGGAGGTTACCAAGAGGAACTCAGTAGTCATGGCCTCAATGGTCATTGCAAGAGCCTTGGTATTCCCCCAAACCATGCCCTTGGCACATTCACCTCCTCTGATGCTGCACGTGTGTGCATGTGTGCCTGTGTGTGTGTGTGTGTGTGTGTGTGTGTGTGTGTGCCTGTCTGCCTGCCTGCCTGCCTATGTGTCTGGGACACGGCTTCATTTTCTGGTGAAGATTCTTTCCAAAATTCCAGCCAAAAGCCTGAGGTCAAGTGGGAAATATGCACTCCTTGGGGGCTCTGGGAGAGTTTGGGGTCTGAGGCCTCTCCTCGGTGCAATGATTCATGGCTTGGGGAATCAGCATGAGCTTGCTGTTCCATGGTGAGCCTGGCACTCACTGTCTGGGTATTCAGAGACACTTTCTGGAAAAGGCCCATGTGGGAACACACACACACACACACACACACACACACACACACACACACACACGATGCCCATGCTTTCAGCAACCTGAGGCTACAGTGTCCACACAATGTATGTTGAGGTTGGGGAATAGTGGTAGACGGGTATACGGTACAGAAAACAGAACATCAAACACAAAAAACTGGTATTCCATCCCAAAATCTGCTTTCCTGCTTCCAAACTAAACAGGCTTCAAAGGGGAAGCTTGTTTGTGCTTCTGCACCAGGCGGGGCTTCTCAATGCTGAGGTCAGGCCTAAGGAGCATGGAGCAGGTTAAAGAGCACAAGAAACAAGCAGGCAAGGCTGTTGGCTTAACCCTTTGTGCTCTGGACATGGGGTGGGAGTCTACCGAGGGAGCCTCATTAAACAGGAGCTCCCTAGACAGCCCCTGAGAGTCCAAGGCCCTGCCCAGCCGAGAAAGGTTTAAAGAGGCTGGCCTGGACTGTTTTAACAGAGTTGTCATTTCCCAACGCCCCTCAGGGCCATCTATTTATTCGGCATGTGTCCTCTGAGTTTTCGCATATATTTGCTCCCTCTCACCAAATCTGGCTTTCTCCACAGAACCATTAGCTTCTCCAAACCAAGGACTGTAGATAGCCCTGCCATTCACTGGAGCACCAGAGACTAAGATCGTTTACATAATAGGGGCCCAATTCATAGAGATGAACAAAAACTCTGTAGCCTGGGATGGTGTCACCTCTCTCAGTTATACCATTTCCTGATCATCTAGCAAAAAAGGTGCCCAACTTACTTTCTTCCCCTGTGAAAATCTCCTGGTAGGAAAGCACAGAGATGCATTATCCTGAAAGCTGTCCCACCCAGGACCCAGCGAGGGAAGAGGGGAGTTGGAACAACAGGATGATCTTGCTTCTCTGCCTTCTGAAGTACAGAAATCCTTTCCTTAGGTCTAAGAGCCTGGGTGTAAGAGGTTCTGGCCAGGCCACATGGGGAGGGGGAAGGAAGACAGGGAGGGTGGAGGCGGGACGAGGGCTGCTTCAGTGCCAACATTCTCAGGTGGTGCTAACGTGTTTCCCACAACCCCCCAGGGTTCTATAGCCTCTGCAGGGGCGGATGTTTCCTGCCCTTTGTTTCCACCCTCATCTGGCACTAAGACACTTGGGACTGGGAGGGAAGGCCCAATGGAACATCTTGGCATGGATGTCAGAGGTGGCTTGGCAGGCTGACTGCCAGTCTGGTGGCTTTTCCAGAGGACAGGGATCCCAAACTTGCTCCAAATGGCTGCTGAGAAGGGGACAGTAACACAACCCTGGGCTTCCCAATCCTCTCTCAGACCCTCTTCCCCCTCAGCTACATTAGCTGTATCAGTTAGACCAGACAGGAGCCCAGAGCCCAAAGCCCATCCTGGGCCTGACCTACCACAGAGCTCCAAGAACTCAGGGTGCCTAGACAGTCTCCTGGAGACAGCCCAGCTGGGCTCCTCTGGCCTGAGGATGGAAGCGAGCTAGCTGGGTTCTGAGATGCTGACCCTGCACCAGCACCAATGACCAGACAGTGGTAAGGGCCCAAGTGGCAGGAATCCACAGGCATGAGCCAAGGGCTTGCTCTGGAGGGTTTCTGTCAGCCTGGCCTTAGGGTGACATTGGCCAGAAGAATGCTACCTCGAACCAACAGAATGATCATGAAAAGCTACAAGACAATCAGACCAAAGGCATCTAACCACTTCAAAATCCTCCCAGCCTCCCTGCCAGACCACCCAGCAGCACTGCCGTTATCTGCCAGGGCTGAGTGTTTACCAATAACGGGAACCAGCTTTGCTGTTTTACTGCAAGCTTTATAAGGATAAAAACAAGGGCTGGGCTCATGCAGCCTCTGGTTGCTGGGACACAGGAGTACATTTGCTCAAGCAGTTTAAGCCACGGATCAGCCATAATAATTTGAACTGCTTTGATTATTAAACAATTTTCCTTGCCCCACACATTCCCTACTTCTCTGCAAATCCTGTCTTACACACACAGCAGGGCTCTGCCTGCCCGGCCACTGGGCTGGGGACATGTGCAGAGGGGGCTGCTGTGCACGTGCAGGGCTGCTCTGGCATGACTCACCGATGAGGGGCACCACCAGGATGTACTTCCTGCTCTCCAGAAGCCGTGCCAGACTGGCCAGGTGGTCAATGAAGCCGTTGGTGTCTGGTACAAGGAACAAGGGTCTGATCTCGAGCTCCATCTGCCTCATCTGACTGTGGTCCTCCAGGACAGCCTACAGGGACACAGAACGGTGAGTGAGCCAAAGAGTGAGCAGGCAGGAGGGTGGGTGAGCCAGGCCCTGACTCCACAGTGTGTCAGCATCCTGCCCCCTGAACCTCTTTCCCCTCCAGAGGAACAGCTAGCCCCTGTCAGGCCTGAGGGACAGGCCCACGGGCTGGGCAAAACACTGCAATAAAAATGGACATAGACCAAATGGCCCAGGGAATGGGCGTGACTGAAACCCTGCCTAAGACTGAGAAAAGACCTGATGGTATTCAAAATAACAGGCTCTGAAAGTAAGACCTTGTGCTAAAAATCTTTAAGGGCGTGTCTGGTTCTTTCTCAATTCAGGTACTTTATATATTATATATGTATATATATATATCTCCCAAACAATTTGTATTTCAATTTATTTCACCATGTGTGGTTAAAAAAAAAAAAAGCTAAATTCAAAGGCTACACAAAAAAAGTGATGCTGACAACTAATAATTAATCTCAAAATCTCCCACAGAAGCAGGAGTCCACACGGGGTGACAGATTAGGGCTTGATCCGCATGTTTGCACAGAGAAAAACTCAAGATTGATCAGAATTGCCAACTCCCAACCCCCTGCTCCTCCTTCCCTGCAGTGTCTCCTCAATATTAGTCTTTTGTGTTCTACTTGCACTCCTCTGCCATAACTCTGTACAACCTACACTTTTACTTACCTGATGTTTTTCTTTTTCTTTTTTTAATATATTTTATTGATTATTTACAGAGAGGAAGGAAGAGGGATAGAGAGCTAGAAACATCGATGAAAGAGAAACATCGATCAGCTGCCTCCAGCACACCTCACACTGAGGATGTGCCTGCAACCAAGGTACATGCCTTTGACCGGAATCAAACCCGAGACCTTTCAGTCCACAGGCTGACACTCTATCCACTGAGCCAAACCGGTTTTGGCATGATGTTTTTCTTTAAAATTGACTTTAAGTCAACTCATCTTTTGCTTAGCCTCTTTTTTTAAAAAAAACAATGTATTTTATTTTTTAATATATATATTTTTTATTGATTTCAGAGAAGGAAGGAGAGGGAGAGAGCAACAGAAACATCAGTGATGAAAGAGAATCACTGACTGATTGCCTCTTGCACACCCCACACCGGAGATTGAGCCTGCAACCTCTTTCCCCTCCAGAGGAACAGCTAGCCCCTGTCCTGTGCCCCGAATGGGAATCAAACTGTGACCTCCTGGTTCACAGGTCGACACTCAACCACTGAGCCATGCCAGCAAGGGTATTTTATTGATTGTAGAAAGGGAGAGAGAAATATCTATTTCTTGTTCCACTTATTTATGCATTCATCAGTTACTTCTTGTATGTGCCCTCACCAGGGATTGAACCTGCAACCTTGGCATACTAGGACAACTCTGAGCTACCTGGCCAGGGCACTTAGCCTCTTTTTAAGCAATGACATCCATGGTATCAGGGGTTTGACAGCCATATCACATATTTACTAGTGCAAACTAAATTTCCATAACAGAAAGTCTAAGTGTCCCTTATGCATCATCACTGAAAAACCATCTCGTGTAGCACCTGTGGCCTGAGTACCACACCTTGGAAAGCACACGCCTCGTGCCTGTGAGTCTTACGACTGTTCACATCTTTCAGGGAAGCTCCATGCACATCTGGGAAAAGCCAATTTTCTCCAGTCTGACAGAGCCTTATGTGTGGCAGTGGCTGTGGGTATGCCTATCACTACAGAGCAAGGTCACTATTGTGTGGCTTCCTCTTCTGGGGGCCATGGCCAACAACCAAAATGATTTGCTGGCATCTGCCCAGATGGCGTGCTCCCAGTGTACAGAGCTGGAGGGCACTGACACAAACCTGGCGAGGGCCTGGAGAGCAGGTCCCAGCACTGTCACGCCCTCTCATGGCTCACAGGGCCACAGGCACAGGCACAGGGCTGGGGAGAAGATGTGCGTGCCAAGTGAGATGGGGCCCACAGTACTGGCCCTGGCCACTAACAGTCAGTGAGGAAGGTGCTCAGGTTTCACTGGCAATGACAGTAAAACTGAAAGGGCATGCCTTTGAACGCTGGGGGTGGCTTCTCTGTGACCTGCTGGGGACCTCTCCCTATGAGTAAGTCGTTGCTGCCACTGCCACCACAGCTGGTGGAAGGCACAAGCCACAGAACGCTGGCAAGCATGAGAAATTTGGCTGAGAGGCCCAGTCTGCTGGGACTATTGCTCTCACCTCATTCAGAGAAAGTGCCACCTTCCCAGGGGACTTGGGTCATTGTCTCTCCCCATGGGGCTGCCAACTAGAGGGTGACAGACATGCCACCAATCTCAGCGTGGGCATTTTTAAATACTTAATTTTTTATCGAGATGTAACTCACATATAACGTGTAACGGCTTGGATATTCTGTAAGAACAGCACGTGGTCCCCCTCAGGTGCAGTTAACCCTCTACTACTTCTCACACTGCAGGAGCATCCACATCCCTGGTCCTCACTGTCCCAGCTCCTGGAGTTCTCTGCCCAGCTTTCCCACTGCCAGGAATGGTTTTCTCAGTGTCACAGGCCCGGAAGTATCTTTCTGGGTGAGAGGGACAGAATAAGCACAGACACTGGTGAGCAAGCAACAGGGGCAATGCCATTTGTGGTGACAGGGCCTCAGGGCCCTAACTGAGCAGGGCATCTATGCCACTGCCCCACTGACTCCTTTCACATCTCAGTTTTTCTGTCTCCAGAAATGACTCTCCAGCCTGGTTTGCCTCTAAGGAAGTGGAACTGGCTGTCAGTTTTGACTCTGTGTGAAGGAGCTCCTAAGACTTTATTCCATCAGACATTGAGAGCTGGCGACAGGCAGAAGGGTCTTTAGGCCAGTTGGCCAAGGGACGCTGGGGGCTAGCTGAGCTACTTGTGTGTTCTGATGACAGGACAGAAGCAAAATCTAGGAGCAGGGTCAAGGGAAGCAGTCTGAGTTCTCCGAGCTCTGGCTCCGGGCCAGAAAGGTGAACAGAGGCCATTGCCTCTTAGGGAAGTGGCAGCCTTGTTGGTTCCCCAGGGGTGGGGTGGGGTCAAGCTGTTTGAGGGTGGTCAGAGCTGTACTGCCATCATCCGGTCCCAGGGACACCCGCAGACAACTTCCCTTAACCTGGCTCTGCCCAGTGAGTCACCACACAACTGCTTCCTGTTCCCCACATGCCCTCATGGAGTGAAGGAGATAAAATGAAGCTGATCTCTCTCCTCCTGGGGTACCAGTGGGCTTCTGGGGGCAAAGGGGTTCATACGTTGGTCATGAGACTGACCCAGTCTCCTCCAAAGAAGGGCAGACTAAGAAAGGATCGGGCGTCTGCAAGCCCTTTCTGAGGGTGTCTGTGTTTCCGGCCCTCTCTGAGTGGCGGTGTGTGTGTGTGTGTGTGTTTAGCATTTGCCCTCCCAACTTTTCCAGATTTTACCCGTCAGATTCCTGGCAGCTGTGCACGGCGCCTGTGCCGGCCGTCACGTCCCATTCCGATCTCTGGGTCGCACGGTGAGAGAAGGACACAGGATGCGCAGGGAGTGAAAAAGTGATGTCGGTGGGGAGAGTGCCAAGTCCCCAGTCACAGCCTGGGACGCTTGGGGAGAAGGGGAAGCATGCTGCTGTGGAGTTCAGAGGCCGGTAGTGAGATTTATTTTTGTTTGTATGAGTAAAAAGCTGCAGAAGCCTCTGGTAGGGGGTGAGGGGGGCACAACTGGAATGCTGTGATTCAGACAGACTGGCCCTAGCCTGGAATCCAGTGTGCTGACCCGGAAGGAGAGCTGCACAGGAGCTTAGACTGGCTACAGTGGTCCTAGGACTATGAACTGAGAAGAAGGGAAAGCTTTAACACTTTGGATCAGACCGGTGGCAATAAGGACTAAGTTGTAATAAAGTGTGAAAGAGAAAGAACTTAATTCTGTTTCTGGGAAGTGCTAAGTAACCAGCTTTCTCTGAAGTAATGGAGTGTCCTTCAGCAAGCTGGTGGGAACTGGGAGAGAGAGAATCCACAATAACATCCAAACTAACAACTGTGGGTTCCCAGGAGCGGCTCTTTTAGAGGCTAAAATTTCTTTATTTTTAATTTATTTTTATTGATATCAGAGAGGAAGAGAGAGTGAGAGATAGAAAAATCAATGATGAGAATCTTTGACTGGCTGTCTTCTGCACACCCCCTACTGGGGATCGAGCCACAATCCCAGTTTGTGCCCGGACCAGAATTGAACTTGGGGCCCTTTAATCTGTAGCTCTATCCACTGAGCCAAACCAGCTGGGGCTAACTTCCTTCTTCTAGACACTGGAGATGATTTGGGGATGCTAACCCATTGAAAACTGAGACACTCAGAATTACAAATAAAGGTAATGCAATTAGTTCACAAAGGAATTCTGGGACGTGGAGACCGGTTCATAAGACCCTAGGTTTTCCTTCTCCTCAGGGAGGGAGGCTGCTTCCTTTCTTATCCAGGGCGAGGGACTAATTTACTCCTGGTCTCTCTGGGCGGGCAGAGCAGTGTCTTCACCAGAAACGAGTTTTGTTAACATAGCAAATTTCCACAGTCACTTTGTATGTGAAAGCATCTAGCAAAGCGGCTGATACATGTATTAGCAGCTAAACAAGGCTCAGTTTCCTTTCTTCCTGCCCTGCTCCATTTTCCAACTTCTATACAACCAGGAGGGTAAGTATCTGGGGAAACCACTAGGGAGCAGAGCTGGAGGGGAAGGGGCCAGGCAGAGGGCTGTTCATTTCTATATGAGACTCCTGGTACTCCTGTTGTTGATTTTAACTACGTATTGGTACTTTTAAAAATAAAAAACAGAAATGAAATAAAAAACAGGAGTTGGTAAGATAACCACCAATAGCACAGGAGGCAATTCCTTCTTGAGCTGCAGAAACCAAAGGGAGCAGATATTGCATTTGCTCCAGAAAGCAAGCAGCCTCCCCGGGGAGCAGGACACTGAGCTCATGAGAAAGTTGTGATTAGGATCCCTCTCTAGAGGTCCAAAGTCAGTACCA